CCATTTTTTCACACAGCAGAATAATCATTCTTAAAACCAACCTGAATAAAACACTCCACTACTTAAAACCATCCAATAACCTTCAAACCTGTTGACACAGTATAAGCTGTTAAACTAACTGTACAAAACCAAGTATGATTTGGTACTGCTTACTCTCATACTTTATCACTTTTCTCTCCTATACAGTTTATCTTCTCCTTACTCTCAGATTTTATGTCCTTCTTCCTGTCGTTGCAAATGAAGACACTCTGTAGGCATAAAAGCATTATCTTCTCCCCAACCTTTGTGTGAGCCATGTGCCCTTCACACTTGCAGATCCACTGATTTGAAAAAGCCCCTCAACTAACCACTGTCCACTCTGCACCCCGCTTCTCTGCCGGCACAGTGAGTATTCATCCTTCAGGTCTCACCTCTGAACACAGCTCGAAGCACTTCTTAGTGTCCTCTAGGTCCTTCCACATCTCTTTCTTAAATTTACCTGAGTTTTCTGCATGGGTAGAGAAGTGGTCTTCCCCTGTTTGATTCCTAGAACCTGGAATAATAATAACTGGTCTACAGTAGTCCCCCCAAATTATATTTTGAATTAAGTATGATGAGTTTACAGGCAGACACTTACAGACACACACAGAGAGAGAAGATAACAAGGGATTTTATTGTTTACGAGTTTGGGATTCAAAAACAAATTCCTGAGGCCCGATGTCCCCAAGTAGAAATGATTTTCTACTTAGAAGCTGGGAATGCACCCATTCATTCATTCAACATTTATTCACACTTGCTTTGTGATCATAATGCAGCTTGCCCCAAGTACCAAAAGTCAAAGCTATGAAAGTAGGAACTGATGTCCATTTAATTTTCCCTAAATCCCTCCATTTTGAACTTCCGGGTTCTCCAAAGCTGAGTGGAAAACAGTTACAGTGTTGAGTCCAAAAGACACAGACAAGGAGACGCCAGGGTATGGGCCATTTGCCTCCAGTGCGCAGGAAGCTATTTCCCCGGTGGTAGGGTGCAGCAGGTCCCTTTGAACCACCTCCCGCAAGCAAAAAGCTGCTATCAGGATTGCAGGAGATGTCTTCTGTGTAGTTATGGTTGCTGTATGTTTTTGAACAGTGCTTTATTTTACTTTTGTGTTCTTTTAACTATCGATTCTCTGTCATTCACTATCTACAGTCATTCAATATGTCACCCCAGGTTATTCTGTGAGGAAAGGCATGGGAGAATGATAGTGTCAGAAAATACAAGTCTAGTTCTGGCAGTGCTGATAACAGACTGTGTGACCTTGGAAGGCTATTTCTCTTTCCTTGGTCTTGGGTCTTGGTCATTTTATTATATAAATGTAAACATCTAGAACAGGATTATTAAAAATGTGGTTGTAAATAAATATCATCTTTCTTGCCTAAAGAAAGTGTCCAACAAAGTTGGAAGACCTCTTTTTTCCCCACTTGGAATAAAGCTTAAAACACCTACGAACTTTGATGACGTTTGTATTTGTCTTTATTATTATTTTTTTGAATCTTGGGACAAAATGTTCTTTTCTCTTTCTGATGTGATGCATTGGCCTCAGTGCTTTAAGAACCCTTCTTTTTTTGTTCATGGAATCACATGCATTCCCCTTTATTTATTTATTTACGCCTTTCTTTATTTCTCCCTGACAATTTGTTGGCCAGATGTTTCTCTCTGATGTTCCTATAATGGAAAATATAACACAATATTCAAAGAACAGTGTTTTCCTCAGTGCAGAAAACTTTTGCATGCTGCTTTATTTCAGACATAAACTTGAAAAAGGTTGAGAGACTCTGAAGCTCAGTGGAAAAAGTCCAGAGCAGACTCAGGACAAGCAAGCTTTGTATTATGTGGATATATAGAATTCAAGCTTCTCGGCTTCTGTTCCCCAAAGGGAACATCGTCATGTTTCTTTTCAAAGAGCTCTGTCTGCCTTTGCTATTCACAGATTATGTAATGTCAGATGTTGATTTGGGCCTCAGTTTCCACAACTATACAATAAGGATATCTGAGTTAAAGAAAGGTGATTATGCCTGTTTTTGTAAATTGAACTTTATGCAGAATGAAATATTTGTTATGCAGAAGAAGCCAGTCAGGAAAGAGTCCATCCTGCCTAATTCAAATTTGGTAAAGTGCAAGAGCAGGCAGAATAAGTATATGGTGATAGCCCGCAGCGTTGTCGCAGTTCCCCCTGGAGAGGGTATTGGCAAGGATGAGCAGGAGGCAGCTTCCTGGGGGGCCGCAGTACCTTCAATCTAGTTAGAAGAGACAGGTCACAGCCACATGAGAGCTTCATTCACTCTGATATGTGCGTATTTAAAATTACTTTTAAATAGACCATAAAACAGTATATACAATGGTTTATAATTGTAAATATGCGTAGGAAGGTATTTAATTAATATAGGAAATGTATAAACCTCTTGAAGGTTTTTGTCCTAGGACGCTGTCTCAGATTGTAGGATATTTTGACTTTATGTCTTATACATTTTTTAATTTTCCATTTAGATTATATTTTAACAAACGATGGCAAAATTTTTGTTTTATTTATTATTGTACTTCAGTACACACTGAATCTGATAGAGTCTGCAATTAGAAAAGATGAGTAAAATCAATATGACCAGCAATGGAGCTATTATTCTGAGTCAAAGATTTTTAATAAAGAGAGAGAGTCCAGCTCACTCCATGTATTTGTCTTAGAGAAAAATGTCTGTTTTCTTCCCCATAGTACTTGCAGTGCCTTGAATGGTTCCTGACACATTGTAGGCTGCTCATTAAATATTTGTTGAATGAGTAAATGCATTTGAAGTGCAGTAAAATTCTCACACTGGGCTTGAGTATGACTTGGAAGTAGATATTGAGCATCCTCTGCCTGTAATGGAATCGTGTTTGCACCTGCCAAGACAGGGTGTGAATGAATAATGGGGCGTTCTCCGAAAGGAAAGTCCTCCCAGCTTCAGTGGCAAGTCACGCAGCATGGCAGAGAAAAAGAAGAGATTTAATGTCCAGAAGTTTCACTTGGAATCTCGATTTAACTATATTCTCTTTTTGTGGAGTTTGCCTGGCTGCCCAAATATTTAGAGCCTGATTCTCTTCACCTGAAAAACACAAATGCTTCTCAAAGTGGTTGAGATGATTGTAGTCGGGCTGCTAGGGGTTCACTACAATGCCACCTTCTGTGCCAAGACACCTGCACGTTACCGTATGTCTTGTATGTGAAGCATGTGAATTAGTTAGCAGAGAGCTCAATAAGTGTTCCATTCTTCTCTAAGGTGACTGAATTCTTAAGACCGTTCCAATTAATTTTCTATATATTTTATATCACCTATTTTTTCTTTAGGTTTTGTAAATTATTCTAGATTATACTTGACGCCATTTCCCTAAGGACTTTAAATTCCTCAAAGGAATGAACCATTCCCTTCTTGAGTTGTATAAAGTTTACTGAATTACCAACTATAAATGTGATCATTGGTGATATGTAATCTTTTCCAGAATAGGTGCAGTATTATCTCTGATCTAGGGTCATTGATGGCTTTAGTATTTGAGTTAAATGGGATTATTTTCTTTTGATATACCAACCTCCATTTTTTGATAACTCTTTGCCTTGCGCACTCTTTGACCTTTGACCTGTTCTCTGGAACAGAATAGTTCTCTGACAAGCTTGAGATTGTTGACTATCAAAATCCCCATTAATTATATCATACAGATATCAAGTCAGGTACAGTAGTCCTATAAATTTAAACTTTGGAAGGAGTAGCATATTACAATAGATGTAAAATTTCTTGATCCAGAGAGTGGGGTGAAATGTGGAATAGATTCACACGGGGAAGAGGAATGGTTAATTAAAGGAGTGTGGAATAATTGTGGAGCTTTCAGGAACTTATGCCAGCCTAGCAGCTGCCTTGGTTAAGAGCATGAAGAAGCAAAGTTTGCAGAGGAGATGCCATAAAAAGAGGGAAATGCTAATGGAGGCTTGTTCCTGAAATATGCGTTTGGGGAAGGTCACTGGTTGAGTGTAGGTGCTGGGTGGTAACCTGAGTCAAAGAAACAGTGCCAAACAAGTAGGAACCAATGTCTATTTAGTGTTATCTAAACTCATCTGTATTAAAACTGATATTTGCAAACAAGTAGGAATTGATGTCTGTTTAGTGTTACCTAAATTTGTCTATATTAAAAAAAAGCAAAAAACACCTGATATTATTGGAGTGTCTACTATGTGCCGAGCTCTATGTTAGGCATTTCCAGATGTTATTTCATTTACTATTCAGAGCTGCCTCTGAGTCAGGAATACTGCATCTTGGTAACCCAGGTGAAGAAACTGAGGCTAAGGAGGGTGAGGTGGAAGAAATGAGGGAAAACATACAATAACTTTTCTCATTGGCAACACAAATGAGAATGAGACATGAGTTTTTATTTATTTCTTAATCTTTTCTTTATCAGTTTCAAGTGTACAACTCAACAAAGCATCATCTGCACACTCTACTGTGCACCCATCACCCAAAGCAAATCTCTTTCTGCCCCCTTTTATCTTCACTTTGCCCACCACCCGCTTTTCTCTGGCTGTGCCCACACTGCTGTCTGTGACTATATGTATGTGTAAGTGTATGTGTATATATATGTATATTTTTTGCTTTATCCCTTCACCTTCTTTCATCCAGCTGTCTAATAGCTGTCTATACATGTATGTCTAACAGGTATTGCTGTCTATAGCATGTATCTATGCCTATGTCTCTTTTTTGTTCATTAGTTTGTTTTGTTCATTGGACTCCACATATAAGTGAGATCACATGGTGTTTGTCTTTCTCTGACTGGCTTATTTCACTTAGCATGATAATCTCCAAGTCCATCCATGCTGTACAAAGAGTTCCTTTTGTTTTATGGCCATGTAGTAGTCCATTGTGTAAATGTACCACAGCTTCTTTATCCAAACTCCAAACTCAACTACTGATGGGCCCTTGGCTGTTTCCAGATCTTGGCTGTTGTAAATATCGCTGAAATGATCAAATGTTATAAAATGCTTCATGCATTTGGGTGTCATCCTTGCTCAGAGGCCATGCTAATCTCTGCATTGTTTCAATTTTAATATATATGCAGCCAAAGCGAGCACAAGGCATGAGTTTTTAAAAAGCACTGAAATTTCTCTCTCCACCCCCTCCTGGCTTTTTTTTTTAATGTTCCCAAAAGGCTGGGATTAGGAATCCTCCCACAACCCATCTCTCCTCAGAATGTTTATAGCACTGCTTCTGATTAACAGATTCGACCCAATGGCATAAGGCACAGCTTCTCCCCTTTAAGAAAGAACAAATAAGAATGAAGTGTTAGATTGCATTGCTAATTATATATTCTGTTCAAGTGTCAACCATCTGTTGCAATTGTTTAAAAAGCAGACACAAGTCAACTGTTGGGGTAAGATGTTTACCGTTGTAAACACACAGAAGTTAATGACACCAGTGGAGATTTGTAGTTCTGGCAGGGGCTTGAGGCTGCAGTGGGATTCGATTGATGTCTTTGGAAGCCCACCTTCTTGTGAGAGGGTCAGCGGTAGCTCAAGGTCACTCATGATTAAGTACTAGTGATACTTCAGACCTGGAAAGGATTCTTAAAGGATCAGCACTCTCAGTTTTCAGAAGGGGTAACCGAGATACAGTGAGGAAAAGGCACTGCCTCTTCTGCACGTACAATTTGAGCACTTATAATTTCCTGCAGAAATTTTGTGTTTGCACATAGGAGGACTCTCCGTCAGCTGTATTAAGTTGCTAAGGAAAAGGATAGGACGCTATTGTCTCTAAATTAAATGCATAGAATAGTACCCACCACATCACAATGTCTAGAATATGTTGGAAACATAGTTAGTTGTAAGATGGGTGGAGGATTTTCTGACCTGGCCAAAGAGTACTGAAAACGTGGCACATTCTCCTCGCCCTAGAGCCATGCCTTTCTTTTTGTTGTCAATTTGTTCATTGAATAAGCCAAATGTTCCGCCAAGATTCTGATAATTCTTTAATGAGAACGACTGGCATTAAACTGCAAGTTAGTTTCAGTTTACATCATGGAGTCAATTAAAACCCAGCCATGAGGGGCGCTGCCCAAACAAGGAAAACCGTTTTCCTTTGACCTCACTCATTCTATCTCGGAATAAATGATAAAATGATATTTAACCTTTTAGGTTATTAAATAATTCTAATCTCCAGGACAGTCGAGGGGAGAATGTCACGGGCACCGTGAGCCGCTCTGCCCCCAGCCCCCTTTCAATGACATCTGCTGCTGTTCTCTGGTGTCCCTGATTTGGGGTCATCCGCCAGGGAGGGTGACCTCAATATCAACCTATCACAGGACACCGAGTTCGTTCTCTTTCATTGATTTGAAATCCGCTTTCTCATAGTTTCAGGATTTGTTTCTAGTTTTGCCATCACAAGCAACCCACCCCTGGAGCACCTCCTTCTGTGTTTGTTGATCTGGTAATGTTGGCAAGAACTTTGATCTTCTATTTTCTATTTGAAATTGCAAAACTCCTGTGCTTGTTCCCCATGAGCCTTCTTACTCAGACCGTGGGACTGCTTCCTGTGGAAACATTCCAGAGGTCCGTGGCCGTATTCAAATGAAACGCTCAGGTTCTGCCGATGGAATTGGGGAGGAGCTTTCAATGGTGCTAACAGCATTCCTCTTTCTAAGTTCCTGACTAATTGAATGCATACTCAGGCAGTTAAGGATAAGTAATGGTTTCAGATTAATTGCTGTGCCAGGCAGCTGTACACAATTTTAATTCCAGAGTTCAGGTGGATCCTGACTTTTGCAGCCATTCGCCTGCCTTTTCAGAGATAAGCCTGGGATAGAGAATGGAATGGGCTCTACGTTTCAACCCCAGTGACAGCTACACTTGTGTGGGCCTCTGAAGTTAGGTGGTATTTTTCCTCCCAGAAGGAGAGCCCGTTGGAGTCCATGAGAGGGCAGCGACCCTAAGGCGCTTCCACACTACAGCCCCCTTTGGGGGCTGGCACTGAAGGTCCCTCCGTGTGACTTAAAGCACTAAAAATAGTCCCCTCCTACAGCCCGACAGGAAAATAAATAAAAACAAATTATTGCAAGAAAATGTATTGATTTTTCTTCACCTTATGCTTAGTTTTAACATCAGAGCTGCTCTGTTAAAAATATGGCCGTAAATACCTCAACCTCATGACTATTTTTATTCTGTGTCTGTACTATTCTGATGCTATGAGCACCACATCCATCCCAGGATATCTCCTCTTACAAATGCTCCTCATAAGACTACCTCATCCTTTTAACCAGAGGGTCCTGCAGTAAGTCACCGTCCATTTATAGTTCAGAGGCATAAAACTGTCAATACGTCCTATTTAGCAATTACGCATTTAGTTTGCATTGTCTTATATCCCCAAAGATTTAAAGTAAGCTGTAACAGAAAGGCATACAATAAAATAATATTAAAAAAACAAAATGAGAGTAAGAAAATAGAACTTGGGGAAGTACAATTGAGAATAGAAATTAAGAACTGTGGTGAGAAATGAAATGGAGTGTTCTGGTCATAAGGGATTACACTGTGGCCACTTTTGCTCTCTTACTTGTCCCCACTTTTCTTGGAAGCCAAATAAAATAAGGCATATGTTATGCTTTCATCACAGAAAGGAATAAGTTCATTATTTTTTCCTTAGGTGTTTTCCTTTCTAGATGTAGTTTGTAATTAATGTAATTTATTTTCAGCGACCTGGTTTTATTTCGGGCTCTCCTTAATGGAGTTCAGATGTAATGTTACAGTTAAGGTGAAAAAGAATAGCTTGTGTCCCAGGAGAATACATGATATGACAGATACAAGGTACAGGAAGTGAATGGGGATGATAGAATCCCTGTAGCTCAAACGAGTCTCCCAGTTTTCTCAGCGAGAGCTTTTGTTGCCAGAAATGTAATGCAACACAAAAGGCAGGGCTCAAAATATTGCCATCACAAAGTCCAGATCCCCCTAGACCATCCCTCTCAGTCCGAGGAGCATGGCATTCTAATCGCCCGTCCTAGAGCAGTGTGGCTCTCACATACAGATTTCGTCCTGCTACAGACCAGAAATTCAAGGGGCTCTCGATGTGCCGTGTCCGCATGGAGGGACAGATTCCGAGGGGCTCCAGGAGGGTATTGAAAGGCATAAGCTCCATGGAGGATGATAGGCATCCAAAGAAGAAGCAGAAATGTCCAGTTTTCAGCTGTGCTTTGAAGAAGCTGGCAGTAAACAAAGCGAAGAGATGAGGCAGAAGCAGCTAGGATTCAGGGTTAAAAAAATAATCGTTTTGTGAGTTTTGTTGTTACTGAACCAGAAGAAGCAAATAAGTTTTAGGTTCAGAGAAAGCAAGAATGAAGAGTGTGTATGGATAAACAGAAAAAAGAGACAACTGACACACGCAAGGTGACAAAGAAAATGGGGAGTTAATGATTAGCTGGATGGAATCACTTTGGATTCATTGGGGACACATCTGTTTTTATGGGAAAGATAGGGTGCTGTTAAGTATGTGTAATTGGAGGGTGGGGGGTAGGGAGGTGGGAAAATGGAGATAACTGTGCTTGAACAACAGTAAAAAAAACTAAGTGTAAAATATGCTAAATAAAATAAAATACATGTTAAAAAAAAAATAGGTTATTCCCCCTCCCCCCATCTCCTGGCCTCATCAGCTCCCAGTATCTTCCATGATTTTGGAACCATCCCTCTCATGGGCTAATTCACAGTCGGTTAAATGGTGAGGTCCCATGGTTGTAAGTAGCAGCTCCTCAGAGCAAGGCCTCAGTCATAGAGCGGAACATCCATTTCTGTCACGGGATGATTTCTGTAGACAGGAAAAATACTTGAAGCCACAAAATTTAGCCAGAGGGATTTCAGGATAGATCTCTATCTATAAAAGATTGCTACCTGTAAAAGAAGAACTGCTACTTTAGCATGGAGAGAAATAGAACCCCAGCCCTATGGGGTGGGCCAGTCCTGTTAGGGATGAGCCCTGCACCTCGAAAACACCCACCATTTAGCCACCCACCTTCGGAGGGCATGCGCCAAAGGCATTTCCTTGGTGGGTGCCTGCCCCAGGCTGACCAGAGAAATTTGGAATTTGGGGGGAAAAAAGCAACATCAGGCCTTCAAATCTCACTCACAAAAAAAGGCCACATTGGACATATAAGCTCTAAACTCTCCATAACTGAACACAGAATTTAGTATTTTAAACACACGGAGTTTTTACCCTTTAGTATATACTGTACTTGAGCCAGATGCTTTAGGATTTTATCTTTGAAATGTAAAGCTACTTACTAGTTTGAAATATTTTAGCTTGTATTCACATTGAACAATCATACACTTAAACAGAAACATTAAAATATATATATATATATTTTTACCTACTTTTGGCCTTTAACAGAGAAAACTTAGAATTCTGACTGATTCTGTGGCTGTGGAGAAATTTCATAAGATCTCCATCACTTTTATCATTTGTAAAATTAGGATGCTAGTGATAGCGGTTTCAAAGGGACTTTTTCTGAGATTAAATGATATAATATGTATGAAAAGAGCCAATATACCTGCAGAAAATAGAATAGGCTTTTCTTCAAGTGCAACGGGGTGAATCCCTTCCTTCCAAAATTCTCTGGGGAAGGTGACTAAGACATTGATTGGAAGAGAGAAAGAAATTGCCAAAAAAAAAAAAAAAAAAGAGAGAGAAAAAAAAATTAGCTTCCTTAAGAAGAGTTCAAGGGAAAAATACCTATATATAGTTAGAATCATCTTTAAAAATAACAGAATTGTAATGATTGATTAAAAGAAAAAAGTACTCCATAAATGAAGATTTCTTACTGCTATAACTTGACTGTATTGGCATTTAAATACTTCAGACAACCAACAGTGGGGACCTTGAGACCGAAACCCTTGCCCATGTATCTCAGAGGAGGTAACAGGTCAAGGCCAAGAAGGCAAGGGGTCATTATTACACAGCTGAATTGAGCTGACTGTCAGGGGAGCCTTATGGAACAGGTCAAGACCAATGATGAGCTGTAGGAACTAGGGTATAGAATAAGAAATGTAGTGCCTAAGACACATTGCAAATGCGAAATAGATCATCCAGTTGCGGG